GAAATATCGAAATGATGAAGCGTGGTAACATAGAAAAAAAGAAAAAAACGAACTTAAGAAGCACGCTAGGATTGGAACTGAGTTTTGACGATTCCGCGATGATTTTCTTCAACAACAGAAACATATCAGCCGATGATGGCAGTGGATATGCGCTCGGTGCGGACTCTCTTGTGGGTCGTTCAGTGCCGTTCCGTATCTTCGTTATGCAACCTTCGATGAAATTGTCAAGATTCTTCTTCTGAGCAACGACCAACACATCCATATAATTGTCAAATACACGCCAGATTATCTGCAAACATCATTTTGCAATATAATTTATGAAAGAATAATCCCAAAATCAAACACATTTCAACATATCAAACAACACAAAACGAGACAGGCCAAATATTTTATAAGGCAAATAATGCGATGAGATTAAATCTCAGAAGGGTTCGTGAATTCAGCAACACAGCAGATGAGGGAAGCTCAGCACTGAGATAAAGCTGAACGTGATGAATAGCGAATGACGAAACAATAAAAATCTTATTAATCTATCAAAACCGAACAACAATTGTACAAAAACATTCAACAATACATTACCTTATCAAAATTGAATCCTTCCTTAGCTGGAAATCGTTTGCATAACAAACTTTCGAACATAATTGTGTGATTAATAGCATGCGCTAAAACTTTGAATTCCAATTCAGCGCGTCTTCGACGCATCATTCTCTCCAACATTTCCCTATAAATCAATTCGTAACTATCCACATTTGATGACGACCAAAAATTCACAATCAAGTTTTGGAAAAAAAATTTCATTCAGGGAACATAACTGGAGAACCAAATAATGAGTGCTTATTACTTCAGACTGAACTTGAATTCTTTGCAAACATTAAAAAACAGTGAAATAAATTGTTGAAGAAATTTTCATCGAGGAACAGAAATGAATAGAGTGATGAGTGTGCAATAGAATCGTAACCTTGTCATATTGCAGTATTCAAGTGTAAGTCGTCTGCCCATTTCCCAGTCCGGTGGGAATATCTTCGCCATTCCGGAGCGTTCAAATTCAGTCAGTTTCTGAACAAACCAACGATACCTGCAAAACTTTCTTCAGTTTACTCCACTCAATCTTACATAATTCGGAAGTCTGACCAAGTACTCTTGATTGATGTTTTTTTCAGAATGTTTTTCTGATCACAGAAAAGGATTCCCTCGAAACCGCAGACGAATTCTTGGCAGCACACTTGTCAATTTCTCAAAGAAGTGATAAGAACAAAGAATCGACCTCATATCAATTTTGTCAATCCATGCAATACTCTCACTTTCCCCATACAAAACTGCATATTCGGACAGTTGATGCTCAATAAACCATTTGCAAAAGTCCGATCGCACACCGTTATCCAACGACGATGCAACTCGGCACATATCCGTTACGGATGAATTCAACGAGCCAGCCTAAATCAAAATCAATGCAGCCACTAAAACTAAGACGCAACGAAAGTGTGATGTTCACTGCGTCGGCGAACAGGTTAACCGTTACGAGTACGACTAACTAAACAACAGATAATTTTTCTTGTCTATTCATAATCACAGAATCTGATCAAATACAGCCAATAATTGTACAAATTTTCAATGCTTTTTCTAATGACCATTTTACAGAAAGATTTATCAAAACCTTGATCATTCGAATAACCTAAAATGGCAATCAAATTTGAAGGACTCTAAAATAGAGAAAAGAGAAATATGTTCTCTGAAGAAGAGATTGCTACATAAATATTCCTTCAATATGTTACCAATTAAGCAAGAATTACAAATTCGTTAACAAACGAAAGTGCATAAATTTGAACACAATGGAAATCCATCATACCTGGAAAGTGTGTTTGAGATCGGTAACGAGTTGGATCGCGAGTTTTTGCTTTAAACGTTCCAATTGTTCAGAAATATTCTTAATCTGTTCCACATCCATGTATGAATTGAAAAGCTGCAATACATTTAAGACGGCAGGTAACTGCGATGCTATATCTCCATATCGACGCTGTTCAATCCATGTACCTTAAAGTCAAATTCATCATCAAATCGATGACAGATATCCTCTGATATACACTTTTGTGAACGCACAAAACCATCTAATGGGAAACTAAAAGCTTTCAAGACGAATCTTCTAATGGTCATCAATTTTAACACTTTCGATCAGTTGAATACCAAATGCCATAAGCACCGAATGATATATTAACTTATGGACACTCACTCGTCTGTTAAAAAAGAACATTCTGATGATGGATTAAGACTGATGTGAATAAAATGAATCGACCAAAAGCAAATCAAAATCCATACCAAGAGAGTGAACACCAGTAAGCAGAATATGCAAATGGTGAAGTGTTTTGATGGATGCCGTAAGATTACGTTTAGCAACATCAAGCTGTTTTATATCCCGAGTCATCTCTTGTACGACTGTCTCTGAGGATTGCGTCTTCAGATGAATGGCTTCGATACGTTGCTCAAGCTCACTCATCGCAGCATGTGCCTCAATTGTTCACAATATTTATTACTCATTACTGGTATTATTAAAAGTACTGCTATCATTACGTTAACTATGACATTAGAAAATTTGCGCCAAAGATGATCGTCCGATCCAAACTCGGGACCGAGACTGCTAACTCAATAACAGATCAAGTACCTCAGCAAGAGCTCTATCACCGTCATCACGTGCCGTGCCATGTGTCTCCACCAAATCGGCTAACTCACAATCCAACGAGACGAGTTCATTTTCGATTGACTGCATTACTGTGTCCAACTGTGACAATGACTGTTCGGTCGGAAAGAGTGTGTTGATCTCATCGATCACGTCCATATCCGCACGACACAGCTCTGGTTTGTTCATGCCATCAATCACCTTTCGCACCTTAACTTCATTCATTCATTTCAACTGTCTTCATTCAGAGATCATTTATGAATATGTAATATTAATTGTAATATCACCGACATAATTATCCGATGAATCTCAAACTATGACTCCTGCAAATACATCGACAATAATAAAAGTAAAACTGCTTAGAAACTGGGCAATAAATTTGCGAAGTAAATGTGAGAATATGAAATGAACTCACTTCTGCTCAAATCTGACTTTAGGATTTAATATTAATATTTACGATAAATATTAAATACTAACTATTTATTAATATTCAAAAGTTCAACATTAATATTTATAAATTAACATTTGTTGGTTTTTAATAGTGACTAGAGTGTAACCTATTATCATTTTTTAGTCAATAATTAATTCATGAACAACACATTAACGCAAATTCTATAGGGTTTGCAGGTCACAGGATATTTAGGAGAATATCAAGTTTAACCAGCTAATACCACTATCACCTCACCAAACGGAGCGAATTACTAAAAATTACCTTTTCAGAAAATTCCTCCGATGAGTTTTCATTTTGGTCAGCAGATTTCATTGCTTCGACGAATAAGAAGTCAAGGAATCTCTTTATTACAGACGCGTCGTTATACTGCTTTCATGCAGTCAATGTTGAGAGTTCCTCTGGAAGTAGTTTTTCAGCGAATCTGAAACAAAACAAAATACATTTGTGTCATCTGTTTATCTATAACAACGTAACGCACACATCTAGGAAGGAGGATAATTTCTCAATGAAATGTTAAACGAATACTACAAATCTATTCATTCTCGTTTTTAATGATCTATTTCACTAATTAATTCTGCACAAAAATAACAAGCAATTGTTTTCGTACCACTGAATTTATGCATGATAATTAATCAACGAAGACCATGACGATATACATTTTGAGAAAACGACAATGAAACAGATAAGTGAAATGCTAACACGGCTATGACCACTCATTTTTTAAACAAGTATATAAGTATTGCAGCATGACTACTAGCAGCGAATTTGCAAGTGCATCTGCACCGCTTTGACTATAGCTTGAGGCGATTGAACGATTTTGTATCAAGTGTGCGTAGAATCGCTGTTTTAGATGAAAGCACCATTATGGCAAATTGGTTCTCAAATTTGAGTGTTCCATTACCCTTTTTGATGACCTAGCAGGCCGCCGTAACACC